TGTGTTAAAATCAAACTTGTTTTTATTTTATTTTAGTGGAACTATGTGCTGCTTCTGTGACCTAGTAAGGTGCCATGCTGATACCATAAGGCTAGATATGTTTTGCATGCATTGTTATGCAAGGGAAGCCAGAGTCTAATGTAGAGTTGCCGGCGTTTGGATTCTAGTGCTGTGTAGTTGTGCGAATGAGCTCAAATCAGTTCCTATGGCAAGGGAATGGATTGAACTACCTGAATGTGTGAAGAAATGGTGCTAAAAAAGTCAACCAGACGATGAAACGGTGACATGTTGCGTACTGGCCTATCCTTGCACAGTTTCAGGCCATGAAACGCACAAACAAGCGTCACGTGCTGCGTATTTGTGCGAATGAGTTCAAACCAGTTTCTATGGCAAGGGAATTTATTGAACTACCTGAATGTGTGAAGAAATGGTGCTAAACAAAACAACCAGACGATGAAACAGTGACATGTTGCGTACTGGCCTATCCTTGCACAGTTTCAGGCCATCGAACGCACAAACAAGCGCCACGTGCTGCGTAGTTGTGCGAATGAGGTCAAAACAGTTCCTATGGCAAGGGAATTGATTGAAATACCTGAATGTGTGAAGAAATGGTGCTAAAAAATACAACCAGACGATGAAACGGTGACATGTTGCGTACTGGCCTATCCTTGCACAATTTCAGGCCGTCGAACGCACAAACAAGCGCCACGTGCTGCGTAGTTGTGCGAATGAGGTCAAACCAGTTCCTATGTCAAGGGAATTGATTTAACTACCTGAATGTGTGAATAAATGGTGCTAAAAAATACAACCAGACGATGAAACGGTGACATGTTGCGTACTGGCCTACCCTTGCACAGTTTCAGGCCGTCGAACGCACAAACAAGCGCCACGTGCTGCGCAGTTGTGCGAATGAGGTCAAACCAGTTCCTATGGCAAGGGAATTGATTGAACTACCTGAATGTATGAAGAAATGGTGCTAAAAAATATAACCAGACGATGAAACGGTGACATGTTGCGTACTGGCCTATCCTTGCACAGTTTCAGGCCGTCGAACGCACAAACAAGCGCCACGTGCTGCGTAGTTGTGCGAATGAGGTCAAACCAGTTCCTATGGCAAGAGAATTGATTTAACTACCTGAATGTGTGAAGAAATGGTGCTAAAAAATACAACCAGACGATGAAACGGTGACATGTTGCGTACTGGCCTATCCTTGCACAGTTTCAGGCCGTCGAACGCACAAACAAGCGCCACGTGCTGCGTAGTTGTGCGAATGAGGTCAAACCAGTTCCTATGGCAAGGGAATTGATTGAACTACCTGAATGTGTGAATAAATGGTGATACCAGACAAACCCATTTGAATGTGGGAAAACGATAAGCACGACGCCCTTTGAGAAGCATGTTTCGTGATACCAGACAAACCCGTTTCCATAACAATATTGGTTCATAAATATACAGGTAAAAGAAACAGGGGGTTACCTTCATTGATTAAGGATATTAAATTGTCGGGAGAATGATTTACGGTAGCAGGCAGCATACACCATAATGTGGCAAAGTTACGTAATACATATAGAAATAACATTCACCTATCACAGAGGAATCAAATTATATCGCTAAACGAAATGACAAGTGTGAATATCCTATGAAACACAAGTGACCAGGTGACGTGGCAATAAAAAACTCCTCGCAATTGACAATCGAAGCCACCTGTTCAGTGTAGCCTGGCGTAAACCACAGAATTCCGCAGGTTTCCAGCTGGGCGAGCCTCCCCGTCAGGTAACGTCAAGTTCCCGACCTTAATCCACCATGAGCCTCCATTTCTGTACCTGTTCAAACTCTCTTCAACCTGCCAGTTTTCGCCTGAAAGGTGCGACCCCACAAAACCACGGAAAACAGCCACAACCGACCACACCCGCTAGTTTACACCCCCTTCCGAACCCACCGCCCTTCCCACCCCAAAATCGGCCAAGTACGGAGCCCTCGCCGACCCCGAAATTATGCTAAGTGAAGGCCACACAGTTTTCGGCAGACTTACAAATTTCTGATGGCAAGGGCGACGGAAAGGGAGGGGAGAGAGCAAGGGCGACGGAAAGGGAGGGGAGAGAGCAAGGGCGACGGAAAGGGAGGGCGTTCGTAACGAACGACGGGACGAGCGACGGTACGTGCGATTGGACGGGAGAGAGGAAAGGCGATAAGAGAGAGGAAGGCGACGGGAGAGAGGAAAGGCGACGGGAGAGAGGAAGGCGACGGGATAGAGGAAAGGCGATGGGAGAGAGGAAGGGCGACGGGAGAGAGGAAAGGGTAATGAGAGAGGAAGGCGAGGAGAGAGGAAGGCGACGGGAGAGAGGAAAGGCAATAAGAGAGAGGAAGGCGACGGGAGAGAGGAAAGGCGACGGGAGAGAGGAAGGCGACGGGAGAGAGGAAGGCGACGGGAGAGAGGAAAGGCGATGGGAGAGAGGAAGGACGACAGGAGAGAGGAAGGCGAAGGGAGAGATGAAAGGCGACGGGAGGGCGTTTCGTTGCGAGCGTGATGGCGACGTTGCAAAGAGTAATGAGAGAGGAAGGCGAGGAGAGAGGAAAGGGTAATGAGAGAGGAAGGCGAGGAGAGAGGAAGGCGACGGGAGAGAGGAAAGGCGATAAGAGAGAGGAAGGCGACGGGAGAGAGGAAAGGCGACGGGAGAGAGGAAGGCGACGGGAGAGAGGAAGGCGACGGGAGAGAGGAAAGGCGATGGGAGAGAGGAAGGGCGACAGGAGAGAGGAAGGCGAAGGGAGAGATGAAAGGCGACGGGAGGGCGTTTCGTTGCGAGCGTGATGGCGACGTTGCAAAGAGTGACGCAGCGACGGCAGTGCGAGGCCGATTGTGACGGGGAATGTGACGATTGCGCGATATCTGAAAAAAACATTTCGCTGTTCTACGAAATTATTACCGTAGGCATCCAAGTTACAACATAATCTACGCGCCTAGGCAGAAAATGTCTAGGTTCTCTGCTAGGCTGAAAAATAGAGTCTTCAGGAGTAGAAATTAGCTAGTAGTGAACCCATGCACAACTTGAACCTGAAGCTGGGTCCAGCGATCGAAACCATCGTCGTGCAACCGTCGTGCAGGTCTACGAATGCGACTCCTTGTACAAGCGGCAAATTTTGTTTTGGCGGGAGCCAATCACGTAAGCTCGATCTGTTTGGACGGGTTGCTTGAAAAAAGTGTTCTTGCTCGCTTCAACGGCTTTCGAAAAAAAACCCATTTTCAAGTTGGGATGGGGTTCACTATTTTAGCTGCTGGACATGGACTAAATGCATCTTGTATAAACGTTTTTAGACAATTGTACAATTCGCAGGTTGGGGAGAAATTACGGGCGGATTCCAAAGAGGTTTTCCGCCAACACTTTTTCTAAGGTTAGCAGTAGGGCAGCATGCATGTGCTCGGCGAACACAGCAGCGTTGAGCTCCTAATTGGATTTTCTGAATTAATGTGGTTGTGGACAAGGGTGGCTGTCAGGACAGGAGAAGGAATGGGGAGAGACAGGACAAGCTTGATTATACCAAACAAACAGGTCAACATTGGAAGCATGGGAAAAAGGGGGTGTCAGATATCTCACCACAATTTTTTTGTGGATGTGCCTTTGTTCAGTTATTTGTAGTGAATGACATTTACGGATTACAAGGGATCTTGGTATACCCATTGCTTGGATATCACTCTTCATTGAAAACCTGAAACCCAACCCTGACCCTAAACCCTAATTATCTACTGCACAGCCCTAAGTGGAGCAAAGATGCAGTTGAGAATACGGGCAAGGCGCACCCCACCCATGGCAATGAGAATCTCCACGACAGGTAGGTGAGACTTGAACTACCGGTACTCATTTTACTGTACAGCCGTAGGTCGGGCAAAGATGCGGTTGAGGATACGAGCAAGGCGCACCCCACCCATGGCAATGCGCATCTCCACAATGGGCAGGCGAGACTTGAAATAGTAATCTATGGAGTTTCACGAAGAAGCCAACGGTGCAGTGCGGTGGTGTTGGGTGAAAGGCACGGAAAGGGAGGGAGAGGAATCAGGTAACAATGGTGGTGCAGATGGTTAAAATAGAGCAATTGCTGTGACAGAAAGAGTAGCATTGATTTGAATGGCAGACAAATTGGGAAAATGAATCCGTTGGTAAGCATGCATGGCAAGAAATGTCGAAAACACTGCAACCGGTTTTTGCAAGAATCGAGGAAAACAAAAGGAATTTAGTTGTAGTTATTGCTTGCCCCAGTGCCACCGCCTGACATGCAAGTAATATTCCTTACGGCTCGACATTTTGCATAAAAAAAACAACGCACCTCCAAGCACGGCTCCAGGTGTCGCGTTGCGATAAGCCCACTTGCATGCATCCTTTGCACTCTCCATGGCATATCTGATTGTGAGAGGTGATGTGAACAGGTGCGAATAGGTGCGAATAGGTGCCATGAGATACACAGCTGTGCTGCTGGACTGGAGGAGTGACGAGGCACTAGTTAGAGGCGAGTATGCCGAGGGGATGCGCGCCATGGCATATCTGATTGTGAGCGGGGATGGAGGGAGGTGCGAGGAGATACAAGAAGCAAGGAGAAACAACAAGGGGTGCATTCAAGACCAGGAATAAGGGAGTCAGACAAACCCGCAAGAAATGTGATGCATAGGAATGAACAGTGTGGGAAAAGGTACATCAGGGCAGAATCGACATTACAAGACACAGTGTCCTCCTATTGGACGAGGATATGCAGAGCAGAGGCACTTACACAGCTGCGCAGGCAGCAAAGGTTTGGTGCTGCTTCAGCAGCCGCGTTATCATCAGTAGAAGCACCCAACATATCAGACAAGTCACTTACACAGCTGGGCAAGCAGCAGCTTCAGCAGGAAAAATAGCCAATGCTGTTTCAGCAACAGCACCATAAGAGCTCAACGTCCCCAGGGCAGGAGGCCCACGCAGGAATGAGGGGACGCCAGTCAGAGGCGAGTTGGTGGAGAGAGAAAAGGCACTTACACGGCCGGGCAGGCAGCAGCCTGAGCAGGAGAGAGGGTTGATGCTGCTGCTGCAGCATCAGCATCACTAACAGCAGAAGAACGAGAAGGAATGTCTCCAGGGCAAGAGGCCCAGGCAGGGATGAGGGGGCGCCAGTCTGAGGCGAGTTGGTGGGCGATGTGATGCAGCATGGCGGTGCTGCTGCCGTTGTAGCGTAGGTGGATGGCTGTGGCTATGATAAAGCTATCCCACACCTGATGCAGAGGGGTGGAGCACGGTGGAGAAGGGTGAAGAGGAGTGGAGAGGGTGAAGAGGACACAGAGGGCACGGGTGATGTGGTGCAGTATGGCAGTCCAGCTGCTGTTTTCATGCCATTGCTATGGCATGGCATGGCATGGCATGGCATGGCATGGCACATACCGCATGCAGGTTGGTCTTCCTCTTGAACCATGTCACGTGCACCCTGTTACGATTAGAGGAGCCTTGACACACATGCCATGGCAGGGCGGGCATATTGCATGCATGGCATGGCATGTATTGCATGCATGGCATGGCATGGCATGGCACACCAGGCTGACATACCGCATGCAAGTTGGTCTTCTGCTTGAACCATGTCACATGCACCCTGTTGCCGCCCAGATCAGATGTGAAGCCCACGTGCAGCGGCTGAAGCACGGGGATGTGGGGCAGACGAATGGAGGCGGGGGGGAGAGAGGCCCAGCAACACGTTACTGAGACTTATAGGGGAATAGGGGGAGAGGAACAGGGAAATGGAGGGGCCAAACAGCACCCTGTTGCCGCCCAGATCTGATGTGAAGCTCACATGCAGCAGCTGCACCAGAGACATTGGGGGGAGATGAATGGAGGCAGAAGAGAAATGGAGGCATGGACGACTTTCGAGTCGACTTAAAAGTCGCATTGGGGGGATGAATGGAGGCAGAAGAGGAATGGAAGCATAGATGGAGGCGCCAAGTAAGGGGGATCTATGTGGCCTGTCACCGCCCTGTTTCGACCTGAGGTGAACCTCACGTGCAGCGTCTAAGTCACTTTTGAGAATTCTCAAACATGCAGCGTCTGCAGCAGGGGGGTATGGGTGGATGAGTGGATGAGTGGATGAGTGGAGGCATCATGCATGGAAACAGGCAGGAGAGGATTGGCAGGAGAGGCAGGCTGACTTTTAAGTCGACTCAAAAGTCACCTCGTTACCATGGCACGCAGCAGGGGGATATGGGTGGATGAGTGGAGGCATCATGGATGGAAACAGGCAGGAGAGAAATTGGCAGGAGAGGCAGGCTTGACATGGCCTCAAGAACGCACCTGACCAACCGCACCTGACTAACCGCACCTGATCAACCGCACCTGACTGACCGTACCTGACTAACCGCACCTGACTAGCCGCACCTGACCAACCGCACCTGACTGACCGTACCTGACTAACCGCACCTGACTAACCGCACCTGACCAACCGCACCTGGTTAAAATGGTAGATTTGAGACGTCTCAAAACCACTAACCTCACCTGATGAATGTCCCCTGCAAAGTGCGCGAGGAACATGAGCGCCTCTGTCAGGTGGTGGCCTTGACTAACAGACCCCACACCTGTCACTCTTTTCTCTTAGCTCTTTGCGGCGTATGTGTGTGCACCACCACCATCCTCACCTGATGAATGTCCCCTGCAAAGTGCGCGAGGAACATGAGCGCCTCTGTCAAGTGGTGGCCTCGACTAACAGACCCCACATCTGTCACTCTTTTCTCTTGGCTCTTTGCGGCGTATGTGTGTGCACCACCACCATCCTCACCTGATGAATGTCCCCTGCAAAGTGCGCGAGGAACATGAGCGCCTTTGTCAGGTGGTGGCCTCGACTAACAGACCCCACACCTGTCACTCTTTTCTCTTGGCTCTTTGCAGCGTATGTGTGTGCACCACCACCATCCTCACCTGATGAATGTCCCCTGCAAAGTGCGCAAGGAACATGAGCGCCTCTGTCAGGTTGTAGCGTTTAATGGTCCCCCCATCCACTGCTTCTTGCTGCCTGGCAGGAGACTTTTGAGTCGACTCAAAAGCCACATTGACTGCTTCTAGCTCCCTAGCAGGAACGGCAGTAGCAGCAAGGATTGAAGCATGAGCAGCTTTTCTGGCACCGTCTTGCACCACTCTCCTTACCACCCGCACCATCTCCTCTTCCCCTTCGCCCCCCTCCGCTACTCCCTCTTTCCCTTCTCCCTCCTCCTCTCTCCCCCCCAGCAGAGCAGCTTCTGCCTCATCTATCCCCCTGAGGAGAAAACTCCGGCGGTGAGGGGAGGTGGGGAGACCGGCAGGCTTGAGTGGAGTTGCAGATTTTGGGGAGGATGGGGGGAAGGAGCGGCGGGAGTAGGAATTGGGCTGGGAGGAGGAATGCGGGGAGTAGGTGAGGAGCTGGGATGTGTAGTTGATGATTGCATTGGCAACGCACACACCGGGGTGATGGGCGAAGGCGCAATCACCTGGAAGGGAGGGAGAGGGTAGAGGGAGAGAGAGGAACGACGAGATAGGTGATGCGAGAGGAGGTGGAACGTTTGGTTCATTATGAAGTGAAGAGGCGATGACCAGGCACACCCTTTGGTGCTCCCAATGGCGTCAGCAAACTCACGAGCACAGCAGGGAGAGAAAGAGAGAGCAAACTCAGGGAGGAGCAAACGTTCTACTAGAGAGAAAGAGAGAGCAGGAGGGAGAAATCCTGACTAACCAACTCACGGTGTTCATCGTATGAGCATGCAAAGTCATGAGTATTAATGAAGTGCAGAGGCATGGACCACGCCCACCCCTTGGTGTGCCCAATGGCTTGCTTGAATACCGTACCATACCGCACTCCACCACATCATACCCAGTCAGACCAACCAACTCACGGCGTTCGTTATAGGAGCATGTGAAGTCAGGAGTATCAATGTGGTGCAGAGGCGCGGACCAGGCACACCTTTTGGTGTGCCGAATGGCGGTACCATACCATACCGCACTCTACCACATCATACCCAGTCGGAACAACTCACGGCGTTCATCATAGGAGCATGCGAAGTCAGCATATCAATGTAGTGCAGAGGCGTTGACCAGGCCCACCCCTTGCTTGGCTTGGGGTACTGTACTGTACCGTACCAAACCGTATTGCACTGTACTCACGGCGTTCATCGTACGAGCAGGCGAAGTCAGGGGTATCAATGTAGTGCAGAGGCGCGGACCAGGCCCACCCCTTGGTGTGCCCAATCACATCAGCCCACGAGCACACGGCAGGGAGGCTGCCCCTGGCCATGGGAGGGAACAGTGCCGCTACTGCTGCTGCTGCCTCGTCCGTCAACAACGCCTGGATATAGGGAAGGGATGGAAGAATGGGGAAGAGGACAAGGGAAGGCCGAGGCATGATCAGCCCACAAGCACACGGAAGGGAGGCTGCCCTTGCGTCCGATGGGAGCAGCGCCGCCACTGCTGCTGCTGCTGCTTCGTCCGTCAATAATGCCTAGATGGTGAGGGGCGGAGGGGGGTTGGGGTGAGGATATGGGGAGGCCGCCTGGTTTATTCAAGAACACACGGCAGGGAGGCTGCCCTTGCGTCCGGTGGGAGCAGCGCCGCCACTGCTGCTGCTGCTGCTTCGTCCGTCAATAATGCCTAGATGGTGAGGGGCGGAGGGGGGTTGGGGCGAGGATATGGGGAGGCCGCCTGGTTTATTCAAGAACACACGGCAGGGAGGCTGCCCTTGCGTCCGGTGGGAGCAGCGCCGCCACTGCTGCTGCTGCTGCTTCGTCCGTCAATAATGCCTAGATGGTGAGGGGCGGAGGGGGGTTGGGGCGAGGATATGGGGAGGCCGCCTGGTTTATTCAAGAACACACGGCAGGGAGGCTGCCCTTGCGTCCGGTGGGAGCAGCGCCGCCACTGCTGCTACTGCTGCTTCGTCCGTCAATAATGCCTAGATCGTGAGGGGCGGAGGGGGGTTGGGGCGAGGATATGGGGAGGCCGCCTGATTTATTCAAGAACACACGGCAGGGAGGCTGCCCTTGCGTCCGGTGGGAGCAGCGCCGCCACTGCTGCTGCTGCTTCGTCCGTCAATAATGCCTAGATCGTGAGGGGCGGAGGGGGGTTGGGGCGAGGATATGGGGAGGCCGCCTGGTTTATTCAAGAACACACGGCAGGGAGGCTGCCCTTGCGCCCGGTGGGAGCAGCGCCGCTACTGCTGCTGCTGCTTCGTCCGTCAATAATTCCTAGATCGTGAGGGGCGGAGGGGGGTTGGGGCGAGGATATGGGGAGGCCGCCTGGTTTATTCAAGAACATACGGCAGGGAGGCTGCCCTTGCGGTCGGTGGGAGCAGCGCCGCCACTGCTGCTGCTGCTTCGTCCGTCAATAATGCCTAGATAGTGAGGGGCGGAGGGGGGTTGGGGCGAGGATATGGGGAGGCCGTCTGGTTTATTCAAGAACACACGGCAGGGAGGCTGCCCTTGCGTCCGGTGCTTCGTCCGTCAATAATGCCTAGATGGTGAGGGGCGGAGGGGGGTTGGGGCGAGGATATGGGGAGGCCGCCTAGTTTATTCAAGAACACACGGCAGGGAGGCTGCCCTTGCGTCCGGTGGGAGCAGCGCCGCCACTGCTGCTGCTGCCTCGTCCGTCAATAATGCCTAGATGATGAGGGGCGGAGGGGGGTTGGGGCGAGGATATGGGGAGGCCGCCTGGTTTATTCAAGAACACACGGCAGGGAGGCTGTCCTTGCGTCCGGTGGGAGCAGCGCCGCCACTGCTGCTGCTGCCTCGTCCGTCAACAGGGCCTGAAGACGAGGGGGGACCGGGAGTGAGGCATATATGGAAACAATGAGGCCTGAAAAGCCCACGAACACACTGGAGGAAGGGTGCCCCAGGACATGGGGGGAAGCAGCTGTTAAAGTTTAGAAGAAAGAAGAGGGATGCACTAGCAAGAATGGGGATACAAATAGGAAACCCTAGAAGGGTTGTACTCGCTATAGAGCACCCCACTACAGGCTAGAGCATAAGATAACATTCTGACACACCCCCATAGCCAAAGTGGGGTGTAATCAGCAGAGTAAGCAAAGGAGTACAAGCTCAGGGTGGATCACAATGTCACCACACATTCTGAGCACAAGTTCAAGAAGCAATAGTTTAAGTTCACAATTATGAGCAAAGCTAGTGGTAGTCACAACGGGCAAGTGAGGAGGAGGAGAGAGAGTGAGAGGAGAGGAGATAGGAGGCGACGGCTGAAGCTGCAGACACACAGGCAACAGGAGGCAGACTGGCACAGCGGCTACCGGACGAAGTCCCCGGAATACAGGAGTAACAGGCCCCGCGGCTAAAGTAGCGGCAGACGAGCAACGGACCCACGGGCGGCTGGCACAGCTGGCTACGACTGGGCTACCGGACGAAGTCCCCGGAATACAGGTGCTGCTGGCGACACGACGGCAACCTCCATTCAGCTTCCCCAAACTATCCCACTCCCCCCTGGCACATACCCGCTGCTACACCGCTAGCTCCACTCCCCCTTCACCCCCCCTTAGTACCACTCCACCGGCTCCAACACGTCCACCCCCCCTCAGCGGCAGCTGCAGCACAGGGAGACGGAGGAGGAGGAGGAGGAGCAGGGAACAGTACACAGTGGGTGCACCCCCATACCCCGCACCCCCAAACCCTAAAACAGGAGAATGGGGAGTAGGAGGGGTGGGGCACGAGTAGAAGCGCTGGGGGACAGTAGGGAGGGCAGGGGCAGCAAGGAGCGGGCCCACCACGGGCCTGGTAGGGTCGCCCGAACCGCGCGTAGGCGGCCTGAGCCGCGCGCGGGCCTGGCGCCGCCCGTACGGGCCGCGCGCGGGCCTGGCGCAGCCCGTACGGGTCGCGCGCTGGCCTGGCGCAGCCCGTACGGGTCGCGCGCTGCCTGTACGGGCCGCGCGCAGGCCACGACGGGCGACGGGGGGCGACGAACGGGTCCCCGTCGCCCGTCGCGGAGCCTCCCGAGGGCGACGCGACGGTTGACGGGGCCGAAGCCCGCCGCGCGCCTCGGGGCGCACAGCGGGCAGAGAACCGCCGCGCGCCTCGGGGCGCACGGCGGGCAGAAAACCGCCGCGCGCCTCGGGGCGCACGGCGGGAAGAAAACCGCCGCGCGCCTCGGGGCGCACGGCGGGAAGAAAACTGCCACACGCCACGGGGCGTGCGGCACCGAGTGTAGTGGTAGGAGTTGCAGCGGAAGCTAGGAGGTGGTAAGCCCACCCACAGGATCGATCCAAGGGGATCGACCTGCTCTGATAGCATGTTAAAGTTTAGAAGAAAGAAGAGGGATGCACTAGCAAGAATGGGGATACAAATAGGAAACCCTAGAAGGGTTGTACTCGCTATAGAGCACCCCACTACAGGCTAGAGCATAAGATAACATTCTGACAGCAGCGCCGCCACTGCTGTTGCTGCCTCGTCCACCAGAATGGTCTGAGGAACCGGGCGGGGAACCGGGCGGGAAAAACAGGGAACGGTTAAACGTTCCTGGGCCTGTTGGTGGGGCACTGGGATCGTTCCGAGTTGAGTGTGGGACGGCTACAGGTTCGGTCTGGGGGGTTATGAGTGTGCTACCCACCCTACAAACATGCCCTTTAACCCACTCGGTAGCAGGCTGGGAAAACAGGGCCCGCAGTCCTGTTACAGACACGACCTGGCCACGCATTTGCGTGATACGGTCCAAGCCTTTTTTCCTTCTTTCCTTCCTTACAATGCATATTTTTTAAAATAAAATATATATCCATTCTTTTTTCTCTATAAGATGTTTAAGATACCTAAGCTGCCAAAGGTGCACAAGGAAAAATACTAAACCGTACCTTGATATGCAGGAGAGTTTTAGAATTCTAAAAAATATCCTAAAGCATAACCGCACCTGCGCAATGGCACAGGTGAATGCGTAGCCGACGTGTGTCAAAATGAACAAGAGTGATTGCACTAGGAAAGATTTGGGTACAAGTAGGAAACCCTAAACTTACTGTACCCCATAGTAACTACCCCACTACAGCCTAAACAAACTGTAGCAGATATAACATTTGACACACCCCCATAGGCAAAGTGGGGGAGAGCAAGGGGTCACAAGACCAGTCAAGAAAGGCAAAGCAAGCTCAGGGTGGATCACAACGTCACCACACATTCTGAGCACAAGCAAAGGGCCACAAGGCCAGTCCACATGCAGAGGCATATATGCAACACAAACAGCACAGTGATCTCTACCTAGCAAAGCAAGCATGCAGGTATATATATATATAGATCACTGTACAAGCAAAGCCTACAGCAAGTGAGGAAAAGTGGGCACAAGCCCTAGCATAGTGCAGAAACGCTGATGATCACCAGACTGAAGTGCCTTGGTGAATATATCAGCAGTGTTGGCCCGAGTGGCCACGTAACGCAGACGAAGCTGACCACGCTGCTGCAACTCTCGAGCCAGGAAGTAACGCAGAGCGATGTGCTTCGTTCTGTGCTCCAGTCTGTGCTCCTCACACAAGGCAATGGTAGCCTTGTTGTCAACGTACAGCACTGGAGGAGAACGAGGACGCTCTCCCAAGACAGTCAGCAGGTAGGTGAGCCAGCGTAACTCCTGTGCAGCCATGGCTGTGGCGTAGATCTCAGCCTCACAACTGGAGCTGAGAACTGAAGACGAACGTGTAGAACGCCAAGAAACTGAACCAGAGCCAAGGCTGAAGGTGTAACCCTGTGACGACCGCTGAGTAGCCTGGTCGTCAACCCAAGAAGCGTCTGAGTGCCCAGTGAGGACAACTGAGCTCCTCCCTCCAAGCACGAGTCCCATGCCTGATGTACTGCACAAGTAGCGCAGTACCCTCTTAGCAGCATCCATGTGCACCTTTCGGTGCCGACCAGGAGCCACGTAGCGAGCCAGAAGGCCAAGAGGGTACGCGAGGTCAGGACGAGTGCAAGTCATCAGGTACATGAGACAGCCAACTAGCTCTGGGTAAGGACCACTCGGCTCTACGGACTCGTCCGAAGGTGGAGCTGAGAGCGAGTGACCTGTAGCCAGAGGAGTGGCCTGTGCCGAGGACCAGGTGAAGCCGAAGCGCTGAAGGACCTGCTGCACCATGTGTGACTGAGTCAGTGTGATGGTGCGGCGTGCTCTGTCCCGGGTGATCTGCAAGCCAAGGTAGCTGCGCAGTTCACCCAGGTCTGTGCACGTGTGTCTCTTCTGCAGCTCCGACTTCACAAGGGCGAGAGCCTCAGTGTCAGCAGTGGCAAAGACCAAGTCGTCGACCTACACGAGGATGTAGAATGGCGGCAGCGAAGTGTCGGTGCGCAGAAACAGCGACGGGTCAGCAGTAGGAGGCGCGAACCCAAGAGCCGCAAGTGTAGTCCTCAGTGTGTCGTGCCACTCACGTGGCGCCTGGCGGAG